TAATCTGTAACTGCCAACAAATAATTTCATTTTTAGTAACATTGCTAATAAAGGTGTGCTGTCTGCCAGCTAATAATATAGGTTGTAAGCATGGTGGAAACAATGTATAAAGACAAAAGGACTTTCTTTCTTTTTTTTTTTTTTTAATTGTTTTTAATGGGTATTTATCTTTGACAGAGAGAGACAGACAGAGCATGAGCGGGGGAGGGGCAGAGAGAGAGGGAGAGACAGAATCCGAAGCGGGCTCCAGGCTCTGAGCCATCAGCCCAGAGCCCGACGCGGCGCTTGAACTCACAAACCTCGAGATCATGACCTGAGCTGAAGTCAGATGCTTAACTGACTGAGCCACCCAGGCACCCCTCTTTTTTTTTTTTTTTATGTTTGTTTATTTTTTTGAGACAGAGAGAGATGGAACATGAATGGGGGAGGGGCAGAGAGAGAGAGAAGGAGACACAGAATCCAAAGCAGGCTCCAGGCTCTGAGCTGTTAGTACAGAGCCCGACGCGGGGCTCAAAGTTACAAACCGCAAGATCATGACCTGAGCCAAAGTTGGACGCTCAACCTACTGAGCCACCCCAGACGCCCCAGGAATTTCTTTTTCTTAAGTGGATAGCAATCTTCCGAGTACAGTTGAACTTTGGACACTGGAGAGGAGTGGAGAGTTAGGGTGCTGGTACCCCATGCAGTCAAAAATACAGTGTAACTTTTGACTCCCTGAAAACTTAACTACTAATAGCCTACTGTCTACCGAAAGTCTTACCAATAACAGCAGTTAATATGTATTTTATATGCTATGTGTATTATATGGTGTATTACAGTGAAGTGAGCTAGGGAAAAGAAAATGTTATTAGGAAAATCATAAGGAAAAGAAAATGCATTTACAGTACTATGCTATAAAAATCTGTGCAGGGACGCCTGGGTGGCTCAGTCGGTTGAACGTTCGACTTCATCTCAGGTCATGATCTCACAGTTCGTGGGTTCAGACCCCACGTAGAGCTCTGTGCTAACAGCTCAGAGCCTGGAGCCTGCTTCCGATTCTGTGTCTCCCTCTCTCTCTGCCCCTCCCCTGCTTGTGCTATGTCTCTCTCTCTCTCTGTCTCAAAAATAAACATTAAAAAAAAAGTCAGCGTATAAGTGGACTCGTGCATTCCTGCCCACATGTTCAAGGGTCAGCTGGATTGAGTTCCGCTGGGAAAGTACACACACGTTGGCTTGGTTAACGCAGTGTCTTTCTCCCTAGGCAGCAGCAGTGGCACTTTCCTCCCTGATTCATGCTTTGGATGAATTAGACATGGTGGCCGTGGTTCGATATGCTTATGCCGGAAGAACTAATCCTCAAGTTGGCATGGCTTTTCCTTATATCAAGGATGCCTATGAGGTACAACCCACAGGTCTTTCAAGTTAATTATTTTCCCTCAGTTCCTTTATTCCAAACAGTGCTTCTCAGCTATTACTGTGCATGGGAATTACTTGGTGATCTGATAGTGTAGGTCTGGGGAGGTGCTTGAGACTGTGCGTATCTCACAAATTCCCAAGTAATGCTGATGCTGTTGGTGTGTGAACCACACCTTCAGTTGCAGTGAAAAAACATAAATTGTAGAAGTAGGTAAGGAACTTATGATTAAATCAAATCGATGAAAGTTAACAATAAACCTTCTGTTTGCCCAATCCAGTGACCTCTCGGTTCTTACCCTTCTTGATTTTTCAGAACCTAATGGGGAGAGAGAGTACCCTCATTTTTACAAATGAAGACTATGAATAAAGGTCGAGGATATGATTTTGTTGTGATCCTTGAAAAACTCAGTTCAGACTCTTAGAGAACAAACAGGCTTGACAGAGGGAGGTGGGGAAGGGAGGGTCTGTACTAAGGAGGGCACTTGTGATGTGGTTGTTGTATGATAAGTGATAGATTGCTGAATTCTGCTCCCAAAACCAGTATTGCCCTGTATGTTAACCAACTAGAATTTAAATAAAAATTGGAAGAGAAAAATTCCGTTTATTTAGGGTTCACCTGTTCAAAATATAGGCCCAGATTCTTTACCACATACTGTTTCTCAGAGAACTTTTCTGTGGTAGAAAAGAGAAACTGGAAAAGAGAAGGCAAAAGTCATGAGTTCACGCTCAACCTTCTAGACACCACACCCTTCTGATTTGTATTGGTCATGCATTTTGCAGATATTCTTTGATAGTCTTTCTTTTAAGTATTTCTCTTATGTTTGATATTCTTTGTGCTGTTAATTTACAGTTGTGTGCAACTGATAACAAATCAAAACACTTTACTTACCATGTACCAGACTTGACTTGTCTGACTTGAAATACTTCAGTTGTGCCACCTTCATGGTGTTTGAGACCAGTTTTATATTTTTTCCATTAATTTGGTTGTTTCTGCTTTTACTTCCTTTCTTTCTCACTAGTGTTTAATGTATGTGCAGCTGCCTTTTATGGAAGACTTGCGACAATATATGTTTTCATCCTTGAAAAATAGTAAGAAATGCACTCCCACAGGTGAGTTTATTTCCATTTGCTCATTAATTGCCTCTAAACACAGACTGTTCTTGGGAAATCACCTGTCTGCAGTCATGGTTGGGACCAGGGAATTTCACAGAGTGGAATTGCTTGGATTCCAGTCATGCTCGTACACAGTGATGATGAAAGTGGGGCATGATGAAAGTAGGGGTAGGTTTGCCCTGGACTCTCCAAACACTGTCTGGTTTCCCACTTCTGACTTAGAGTTTGTATCTAGGGAGCAACTTGTGGGAAATGGATGTACATTCTCTGGTTGTGAACCAGTTTGCCCTCTGCTGAAGTGAACTGATGTATAGTGTCAAAGCTGTGACTTTAGTGTCCCACATAAAATACGATGTAACTGTCTTTGAAAAGTAACAGTGCTGGAGATTAACTTTTCTCTTTGCCTTTTCTTTGTAGTTTACGGTAACAGTTTCAGTCTCCTTGTTCCTTGTTTCTAGGAGTTAACTTTGGGCTTGATGAGAAAAGGACTTTATTAAGCACCTGGCTACAAATGTCAGGGTGCCACACAGAATGATGCTCACAGATACTGTCTTTGAGAGAGCTCACAGTTTAAGGCAGTTGCGTAAGATATCATAGTGGGCCAAATGTGATGAATATACCAAAAAGAACACAAAAAAAATGAGTAGATGTTTTAGTTTGAAAGTTTAAATCTGTGTGTCATTGTAGGATTAGGGGGTTGTGAGATGAGCCTCAGAAGTGGGTTCTTTCTGTTTTTTTGGTTAGATCTGTTAGGATCTGTGTGCAGTAGAAAAGCCATGAACCAAAGGGGGCCTAGCACTGTGTCTTTACCTTCTAGAAATGAGTCCCTGTGCATCATGGCAGAGTCAGGCATGGACTTGAATGTATAGAAGCCTGCACTGTATTTACAGTATCAGTTCTCTACATCTTGATAATTTCAAATGTTAAATGCATAGACATTTAAAAAAGAGAGCTTTGTTGAAAAATTATCATATAGACATATAAACCATTTACTCAGGATCTAAAATATTCAGTATCTTTCTGCCTTGCTTTATTTCCTTTGTGTTCGTGTATTATTATTTGCATTTTCTCCATTGCAAAATGGATCATTAAACCTGTTTGGCACGTGTCCCAAGAAGATGTTTATGTAGAGGTATGCAATTCCAATTATGTAGAGGTCTTGATAGTAGCTTGAAGTAGCAGGTAACAGCCACTGAACGTTCCCACACACAGGTGCAACCTCCTCCCTATTGCCAGGTGGACCCTGCAGTAGTCAGCTTAAGGTCGTGATGGCTGTGTCAGCTTAAGGTGGTGCCAGCTGGTAAGGTCTGAAAGCTCCCCCTGGAAAGTCTGAAACTGGGATAGAAATGTATCGTGATAAATATCTATAAGCTCTTTCTTTTTGTGGTAAAAGGGATACTTGAGAAGGTGAAGACTAGAAGCCTAGTAGGCTTTTTAGGAGCTGCTTATTCTCTTCCACCTTTTGCCGACTGGCTGTGAATGGTCCAAAAATAGCACTTCAGCTTTTAACAGCTGAGCTGCTGTGTGAATCAGCAGAATGGAAGTTACACACGGTAGTTTAGGTAGAAGCGTTTTGGAGAGTGTTGCCTTTCATCCGCGTTGCTCTGGACTGTGCCATTTTTGTTGAGTCGGTAGATTTTTATTTAAGAGCAGTTGCTTTCTGTTAGGTATTGGGAGGGAGGTAATGAAGAAGTTGTCATGTTTCTGCTCTCAAGGGTCTTACAGTTTGGATAGAGTAGGGTAAGACGTGTGCACAGGTGTGCATACAGGCCATATGGTTTGGGAGAGGAGAGAGCTCATTCTGACTTGTGGAGATTGAGAAGGAGTCTACTCCCTCTGGTCTGCCAGTGTCTTCCCTTTGGGTTTTTCTGTCTTCCTATCAAGTCAGTCTGATACAAGTTCTAGGAAATCCTGGTAAAGCTTATGCCTTCTCACCAAAGGTATTTTCTTTTCCATGTTTCTCCTTCAGATAATTACAAATTTTTTGAACATACTAACTCATTGAATACTGAATATTTTGAGTCACTGTATGGAAGATGGGTTTTGTATGGCTGTGGTGCTTCCTTTGGAACAAACTTTTGCTTTCGATGTGGTATTACACTGTGAAAGTTGACCAAATGGTATAGCTAGATAGGACCTAAGAGACCAGCCACTCTAAATAGCTCTTTTTACAAAAGAGAAAACCAAGACTCAGTTTAGTTAAATGACTTGCATGACTAGAGACTATTTTGGCCAGGCCTGGACTGTGTAACTTGCCAGTATTTCTGTATCTGTGAATGGAAAGCATTTTGTTTTAGTGTAGAACAGTGGACGTAATCATTTCTCCTTGGCACTGCTCGTTTATCCTTGCTTTAGAGGCTCAGTTGAGTGCTGTTGATGCTTTGATCGACTCCATGAGCTTGGTAAAGAAAGATGAAAAGGAAGACACCATTGAAGACTTGTTTCCAACCACCAAAATCCCAAACCCTCAACATCAGAGGTTGTATCAGGTAAGAGAGGGAAGATGAACCAGTCTTTTTTTTTTTTTTTTTTTTTAATGAGTGAAAAATTTTTTAAATGAGTTGGTGAAAAGAGTGTAATTGGCCACAAGCATTTTTGTCCTCTGAGGGCTTCAGTTGCTTTATTTAATGAAAGAATAATAGCTTCCTCTTCTACTGAAAAACATAAAAATACTTTGAGCTGTTGGAGAGAAAGAAGTAAATTTAAGATACTTGAAAAATTCTTTTTTCTGTAGGAAGGCTAGTTTGTTGGGTTTTTTTTTTTCCAATATATGAAATTTATTGTCAAATTGGTTTCCATGCAACACCCAGTGCTCATCCCAACAGGTGCCCTCCTCAATACCCATCACCCACCCTCCCCTCCCTCCCACCCCCCATCAACCCTCAGTTTGTTCTCAGTTTTTAAGAGTCTCTTATGCTTTGGCTCTCTCCCACTCTAACCTCTTTTTTTTTTTTTTTTCCTTCCCCTCCTCCATGGGTTTCTGTTAAGTTTCTCAGGATCCACATAAGAGTGAAAACATATGGTATCTGTCTTTCTCTGTATGGCTTATTTCACTTAGCATCACACTCTCCAGTTCCATCCACGTTGCTACAAAGGGCCATATTTCGTTCTTTCTCATTGCCATGTAATACTCCATTGTGTATATAAACCACAATTTCTTTATCCATTCATCAGTTGATGGACATTTAGGCTCTTTCCATAATTTGGCTATTGTTGAGAGTGCTGCTATAAACATTGGGGTACAAGTGCCCCTATGCATCAGTACTCCTGTATCCCTTGGGTAAATTCCTAGCAGTGCTATTGCTGGTTCATAGGGTAGGTCTATTTTTAATTTTCTGAGGAACCTCCACACTGCTTTCCAGAGCGGCTGCACCAGTTTGCATTCCCACCAACAGTGCAAGAGGGTTCCCGTTTCTCCACATCCTCGCCAGCATCTATAGTCTTGTTGGGTTTTTTTTAAGGCTAGTTTTTTCATAAAGAGCAGATTGTTCTTCATGCCTTTTCTAGGCTTTTCTCCTCTATTTTATGTGAATGAGACTTTTCTTTGTTTTTTATATGCAAATAGTAGGAGAGTTTTTTGTGACCTTATAATAACATTAGAGAAGTGTTCCAGTACCACATTTATCAAAAATTTCATAATTAAAGGTAGCATAGAGGTCGCATAAAGAGGGTTAGTGTTAAATTATTAAAGAGTGACTAAAACACAAAAAAACGTAAAATAGGTATTTCTGCATCTTGGACCAAAGTAATTGGAAGGTGGTGACTGGATTAAGGGCAGCTGGGAAGGCTGATAGGCAGACTGACTTGTGCTGAGATAGGGAGTGGATGGACTGAAGGAATGTTCCAGTCCCGGATGAAGTTGCTGGCAGTAGGACAGAGCCCTCTCTGAACCCCACAGAGCTGACAAACATCACAAGCAGCTTTTTCAGGCTAGGTCTTCCTCACTGAGGAGTGGAGGACCTGCTCTTGCAGGGGCAGGGGCAGGTAGACATATGGGGAGGTGAGGGAGAGACAACTCCTTGTCCCTTTTGACTCCTTTCTCAAAGTGACTGACTCAAGTCCATATTGGGTCCTTATGTAATTTTGAGGGATCTTCTACTCAAAAGGAACTGCCTGTTTTTTAATGCTTGTGATTCCTTAAGTAGTGAAAACAAATCTTTTCTTCAAAATTAGAATATAAAGCTTAAAAACTTACCTGGCAGGAGAGATACCTGATCGCGAAGGTGGTTTTCCCAGGGTGAGGTTTATCTATTGCACTTTGGATGTGCTGACCCCTGTGACTTCCCCAAATGTGGGAAACTCAACTGCATAACTTGTGGTAGTGGGGGACTGTGTTAGCACTTTCTCCTGGTTTTAAAAAAAAAAAAAATGAGAGAGTATAAAGCTTAACATGTAAAGCGCTGACTCAGTGAATACTCTAGTATTCTAAGTGCAGTCAAGTACATGTTACTTGTGTAAACTTCTTTCGTGTTTTTGACAAGTGGACTTCAAGACCTGAAGCCCTTTGTCATTTGCAGGGAAGGGAGGAGCAGACCAGTTGGTGTGGAAAGCTTGCAAAAACATTTGATCACCATGGTGGGAAATAGAAACTTCTAATACTTGGCAGATTTATCTAGGGTGTATTCCATCTGCCTTCAGTAAATGTTTATTGGGTTGATGAACAGATAACAAGCCATAAGCACAGGTATTGTTACCTTTCAAAGCTGCAAACACTGGCAGCTTTGATTTTCACAGTTTACCAACCTTGCTTTCTTTTGTGGGGGAGAGTTTCTAATATGGTTTGTCTGTATAAAGAAATACTATTGCTATGGTGTTTATAAATTGAATTTACTTTTTTTTTAACACGTATTTATTAAGTACTAACATTGTGCTGTGAGCTAAAGATACAATAAGCTCACTGCTTAAAGCACCCCCCCTCCCCCCCGCCCAGAGGAGTAGAGACATAAAACCAATAGGTACAACAGTGGTGGGCACAAAACCATATGGGGAAAAGAGAGATTCTTGCACGTGGGTGACTTAAGGAAGGCTTCACTGAGGAAATGTGAAGAGGACACACCAGGCAAAAGAAGTAGCATGTGCAGAAGCACGGAAACAGGAAGAAGGGTGCTGGATTTGGGAGTCTCCAGATCGTTCCATTTGGCTGGATAAGAGGCTCTATGGGGACACGATGGAAAAGAGGGCAAGGCAGGTCGTGAAGAGCCAGTCGCTTGCATGTTGCCCTGTAGGCAGTGGGAAATCACCACAGGATTTTGTCCGCAGGTGGGTGACAGATTTTTAGAAAATAGCTCTCTGGTGGTGACATGGAGGTGCAGCAGAGACCAGTTGGGAAACCTGCAGTGGCCCCCTGAAGGCCAGAGTTCAAGCAGTGACGGGGAAAGCGGAGAGGAAAAATGTAAAGGCAGAGGAGACAGGACTGGAGGGGCTGGGTGTAGTTGAGGAATAGGAATTAAAGATAACAGGATCCTAGCTTGGGTGCCTGAGGGACGGCATCACTGTTAATTGTGATGGGGAATATAGAATGAACAGACTGAAAAGGTAGTTCATGTGTTTTTGCAGGTGTTAAATTTGAGCTGTCAGTTGGCTATCCCAGTACACACACCCAGTGGGAAGTTGGAAATAGGGATGCAGAGCCCCAGGAGAGAAGTCAGGACTAAGTATATGGATTTGGGAGTCCTCCCCACTGGGGTAATAGAAGTGAACAAGATCACCTAGGGAAAGCGTTGCGTGAGAAGAAAAGAAAACAAAGTCCTGCACACCAGCGTGTGAGTGAATAATTAGGAACAGCCAGAAGAAGAAGGGTTGTTAAAAGACAAATGAACCATTCTTATTCTCCCCTTCTCCAAAAAAAAAAAAAAAAAAAAAAGAGAGAGAGGTAGAAAGAACTAGGAGAAGCTGGTGCCTTGGAAGGCACAGGGAGTGATCCGTGTGTCCAGAAAGAAAAAGCAAGTTTCATGCTGCTCACTGGTGAGTGATGGTGAGCGAGCATGGCGAAGGGCCTTTAGTGTCTGCATGAAGTCTCTGCTGACATTGAGGGCCCAGCGGCGGTGGAATAGTGGGGTGGGAGCAGGAGAAAGCTCTACTGATGGAGGGAAGGAGAGAGGATACAGGAAGCTAGGTAGGATGGGGGACCCAGGAAGACTTCCTTAACCTCCTTTATAAATGAAACATTCATAGCTGAGAGTGACTCAGCTGGGAGTAGGGGGCAGAAGGAAGGAGAGGTTACCCATCAGTTTGTTGATGAGGTTAATTTAATTCTAATTTTACAAAGAAATGCTGAAGGGGTGCCTAGGTAGCTCAGTCAGTTGAGCATCTGACCTTGATTTTAGCTCCGGTCATGATCTCACAGTTTGTGAGCTCGAGCCCCGTGTCAGGTTCTACCTCTGCGCTGACAGCGTGGAGCCTGCTTGGCATTTTCAGTCTCTCTCCCTCTCTTTCTGCCCCTCTCCTGCTTGTACATGCACTCTCTGTCTCTCTCAAAATAAATAAATAAGCATTTTTTAAAAAAAAGAAATGCTGAAAGATACACTTTTTGTGTAGAGTTACAACTGGCTTTTAAACCATTGATGCAGGGTTGTTAAAATCAACATGCTCATAACATCAACATGCTCGTAACTTATGAGCTAATCATGTGGCCTGCAGGGTTTTTTTCTAGTCTTTTTCAAATTACAAAAATCACATCAAGGAATAACAGTTGCTTAAAAGACAAATTAATAGGTTTAAGAGTGTAATGTCAGCTTCTCTGCTATTAAAAAGTATTGCATTACTTTCTCATTACCTCAGTTTTTTTAATGAATTGAGGTTTTTTTGAGTGAATGAATTTGATAAGTATCCCACTTAGTTTTATCTAAAGTACTACCTTTGAAAAAGTAGGAGTGGTTGATGCTTTAGCACATCTCCTGTAGATTATTACCGACTTGCGGGTGATGACACTGTTTGAAAGAACTGCCTAGAGTTCCTACTGGAGTGTTTTTCTGTGGGGAGGTTGTGTAGGATATTTGTCCATTTGTTCTAGTTGTTGTCTCAGAGATGTTAAGTGAGTATCAGCGAGTCTTCCAGAGTAAGTGAAAGGTCGTCTGCTGTGTTGTGTGTTGGGTTACAGCTTACGTCCTGAGGGCTTTCTAAGCTTTGCAGATAATTTAATGACCTGAGGGAGAGCACTGTGAATTTAGAACTGTGCACAAGAAGGTTGGGGGTAGATTCACAGGGTTTGGAGTCACTTCGGTTTCCCCTTTTGCTTCACATTAAATGAGCTAATGTTGCTGGTGCTCAGGGGAAAGTGGAGTGATTAGGAAAGAGGAAAACAGACTCTGAGACGGATTAATATACTGTGGAGAAGGACAAGTGTGGTCACTGTGTTGAGATGAGATGACAGAGCAGCACATCAGAGTTCTAGAAGCCGTCAACTCAGGTGATATTTACTATCTAAGTTTCAGCTTTTTGTTTTTGTTTGTTTGGTCTTTTTAGAATGGAGACTTCCAGCCTAACGTTTCCTACAGGGGAGGAAAACAGTTCATGAGGTGCTATAAATCCTATACCTTGTGATATGAAACAGTGTTTTGAATTGTAAGAACTTTTCAGCCTCCTGGATTTTTTTCTTTAAAATTACCAGTGTGCAAATCGTTTAAAGGTGGGAATAGTAGGACTCGTGTTCTCCAGCCTAACTTTGGGATGATTCTCTAGCAAAAGGAAAGGAGAGGTCTGTGATAGTTGCATTTTGCTCACCTTCCTGCACTCCTTTTCGGAGTATTCACTTTTCTGGGCAGACACCAGCACCGCTACAGGCAGGCTGAGCAGACTGAAAGCGGTACGGGTGACCAAACGGAGGAGGCTTGCTGTCCGGATTTCCACTCATGTGCGCCGCACAGAACCTGGCCTGGACCCTGGCCCCACTCTTGGTGCTGCTTCCCGACACTTGTGTTAACAGGTGGAGTCTCGGGAAGGAGTACTTTAGTCCTTCGGCCAATACCTGTTAGGTGCTTATTGTGTGCCAGGCACGGCTTTTAGTACCTGGAATTCAGCACTAAACAAGACAAACAAGATCTCTTCTTTTAAGAGGGAAGGTTAAATAGTAAGTAAACTACAAAATTGATCATTTTAGATACTGACAAATGCTATGGAAACTGTAAAACAGGGGTAATGATAGAAAACAGCTGGGTGGCAGGCTGGGCGTGGAGGGGTTCCTTCACAGTGTCCAGGTAGGCCTCTCTGAGGAGATCATAGTTGGGCAAAGAACAGAAGGATTAAAAAAAGGCTCAACTCTGTTGAGATCTAGGGGAAGGCCGGTGAGGCAGAGAGAGTGATAAACTCAGGACCCAAAGACTAGCATGAGCCTGGCACCTGAGGGAAACAGGCAGGGCCCAGTGTACCTGGGTTGTGACGAGCAAGGAGGAAGGTGGCAGACGAGGGAGGCATGCAGGAGCCGTGGTGTGCGTGACTTCTTAGGGTCACGGTAAGGGCATTGGCTGCACAGAATACTGAAAGTAGATTTTGGGAGACCAGTTAGAAGGTGACTGGTGGCCCAGGCAAGGGGGCATGGTCCCCGGACGAGAGTGCTGGGAGAGGAGATGGACAGAAGTGGGTAGACCGGTGGAGAGGAGCCCAAACTGAGCACTCTGGGGAGGTTTGGGACAGACCAGCATTCTCATCTCTCTCGCAGATTTCTTCCTGGGACTCACCGAGCATAGTGGCTCTGTTTTAGCCCCGTTTCATCTACCACACGTCGTTTTCTAAGATTATGCGAGGGGGAAAGCAGTCTTCTGAAGGGAGGTAAAAGGATTCGAGGCCCTTGGAATTAATGTGTTTTAGAGAACCCCACATATTGTCCAGGTGGTGGAAGCAGCAGCCTCTGTTTATAAGATGAGCCTCTGTTCTAGGAGGCCTCCCGCTCATGGTGCCGCTCGGCTGAGATCCGGTTGTAGACCCTGCTGGTGTCCTGCAAACCAAGGTGGTCCCGAGGCCACCCTCTTTGTTCTCTTTTACATGTGGTAGGAATCCTGTAGCCCTCCCAAACCAAAGATCGAGGGTCTCTGACCAGAAAAGTATAAAGAAATTGTATATGGTGTTTGCATCTGTGTTTTAAAACCCTTCTGCCTTTTCCACAGTGTCTGGCGCACAGAGCTTTACATCCCCAAGAGCCTCTGCCCCCAATTCAGCAGCATATTTTGAATATGCTGGATCCCCCTGCTGAGGTGACAGCTAAATGTCAGATTCCTCTCTCTAAAATAAAGACCGTTTTCCCTCTGACTGAAGCCACCAAGAAAAAGGATCAAGTGCCTGCTCAGAACATTTTCCCAGACAAGTAAGTACTCGATGCAGTTGCACTGGACTTTGGAGTACTTAAGACTGGTGGT